AGGTGTAGATAGGAATTTTATGGGTCGTGACATGGTTCCCTGGGAAAAAGGTATAAAGGGGCAAAACCATTGGCTTGCGAGGATAGGTTTTCTATTGTTGCTACAACTACCTTATGCATATCAAAATATTTTTTGAAGGCTACCTGTCTTTCTACTCTTCTTTAGGTACCGTCCACTTTAAGGAGGTTATCTATCCTCATGACCACTTTAGTTTTAACGCTGCAGCTCTTCGGAATAGTTCTAGGGAACTGCATTTATACCATTGTCCCAAATTATTTAATCAAAAAATGCTGTCTTTAATTTATTTTCCTTGTGTTTTGCCGTGTATTATCATCTGTAACGACAAATATATATCTCCTCTCAAGACGTTTATAACAATAGAAACGTACGTACCAAATTTTAAATATCTAGGACTTTTTGTACAAGAAAAATAAAACTCCAAACAATATGTGATAAAAAAAAACAATTTATTTATATTACTTTTCAATAATTCAACTAACTGTTTTCTTGGTCTTCCGTTTAATATACAAATGGACCTGTAATCTATACTAATATAAATAATAATCCATAATAATATAAAAAAAATTTAAAAACACCTGAAAAAAATTTAAATTTACAATTCTGTATGCGTAGCGTGTTTAGCAGCGGTATACATTATCAGATGCAGTGCGACATCCACTGCAGTACCTTTCCTGCTGGAGACTGCCCACTAACTGAGGTTCTTCTCGAAGGTCTTCTTCTTAGGGTGCCTGTCCGTTCCGAACGTTGGCGATCATTCTGGCTATAATGATTTTGTTGGTTGCTATACGAAATAGCTGTGTTGAGGTCTTTCTATACCATGCTTTCAGGTTAGCAAGCCAGGATATTCTTCTTCATCCTGGGGCTCTTTTTCCTTCAATTTTATGCTGCAAAATGCATTGGAGTATGTTCGAAGGTGCTCTGTCTATATTTCTGATCTGGACATTCAGGAGTGTAAGAACTATAGAGGAATAAAGTTAATGTCGCACAAAATGAGCATTTGGGAGAGAATAGTAGAAGGTTATGAAGAGAGACATCGACAGGAGAAGAATCGTTTGGGTTTATGCCAGGAAGAACGACAACAGATGCCTTGGTTTTAAGGCAGTCGATAGAGAAATACGACGAAAAAAAAACTACATTTGGTATTTATAGATCTTAAAAAGGCGTGACATGGTTCGTAGACAAGAGTTATGGAGGTGTATGAGAAAAAATGGGTTCCTTAAAAGTAAATAAGGCTCCTGAAAAATATGTATGAGGAAGCGTACACCAAAGTAAGGACTTGTTTGGGATTGAACGAAAGATTTCAAGTAACAGTTAGTTTGCATCAAGGCTCTTTACTAAGTCCCTACCTGTTTAATTTTGTTAGGAATGGGCTGGCAGAAAAAGTTTGGGAGCGGGCTCTTCGCTGATGATATCGTATCGGTAGAGGAGAGCAAAGACATATAGGAGGAAAAGTTAAGGTGATGCAGAAGGACTATTAAAGGGGGAGGACTAAAGATTAGCAGGTTGAAAACGGAGTAAATGTGACTGGAAGGAGCAGAAATGGTAGACATCGAATTACTTGAAAAAAAAACTAGGACAAATATGGGAATTTAAATACCCTGGCTCATATATAATGAAAAATAGGACGCTAGATCGATAAATTCGCTACAGGATGCAGACGGATTAGTTTAACTGAAAGCGATTAAGCGGGGTACTCTGTGATCGAAACATCAGAGAAGAGCTTAATGGGAAAATATAAAAAAATGTGGTGAATTGGTGTACGGCGGTAAAATGTAGCTTCGAAAGAAGGTTCAGGACAAGCAGATGGATGTAGCTGAAATGAAAAGGTTACGGTGGACAAGACTAGAAGGGACAAGGTCAGGATTGATCTAATTAGGGAAAGAGCCGGGGTATACAGTATCAAAAAAAGTTCATGAACAAAGACTGCAATATTTTAGTCACGTCAGATGTAGAAATAAGAACTACGTGGGATGAAGGATAGAACTGCTAAAAGTTAAGAGAAGGAGAGGCAAAGAAAAACCGAGGAGATAAAAAAACTGTGTGGCAGAGGACTTCAGAGAGAAAGGTTTAAATAAAGAAGACACGATGGATAGAAATGAGTAACAAATAGAAGTAAAGAAAAGCGACCCTAAAAAGGAAAAAGCCGAGAAAGAAAAAAAAAGATATACAAAATTGTGTCACTATTTTTGTATTTTATACTAGATCTTGCGATCCTTTGGACGTTCTTTAGGAACCTGTAAATCATAACCATCCGAATAACATAAACCATTCTTAAAAACTCGCCAATATATGATACTATTTTTGGTTTAAAGTTTTTAAAATATCTCTCTCTCTCTCTCTCTGTACTTGCTCCTCTCAATATAGATAATAATATGCTCTATCAATGGATTTTTTAGTATCTTTCAAAAGATCCACATATCAAATTCTTCAGCAGTGTGTTTTAACCTTTAGTGGCAATTCAACATTGTAGTTAAACTACGTAACTTATTCTATTGCTTCGTTGGTCATCTAATAATTAACAATTTATAGATTTCATTAAAATTCTGTGTAATATAAGTGATGATTATAATTTATCTTCGAGTGATCTTTTCGGACCTAATTAAAAGCCAAAGATAATGTCGTGATTCATTGTGGTAAATTCTACAGTCGAAGTCTGTCTCTCTTTTAGGACCTTATGTTATGGAGAAAAAAGCATACAGCACATGACACAGTTATATCAGCAGAAAACGAAGTAGAACGTCTAAGCCGGAAATGAAAAGAATTCGGACTTTAGACCAATACCGGAAAACAAAAATAATAAGGAAAACAAAGCTCAAGTTGATCAATACTCCCATTTTCCTCCCATTTCTCATTTTTCGTAATGGATAAAAGTAACAATAAGTCTACATAATATTTCTACGTGTGTAGCATAAGTTAAATTGATCTCTAAGCAAGAAATGATTAAATATAGAATTGTTTCGTGTAATAAAGATATTTTAAAGACAATCTTTGAAGATTCGCTCCATATGAAGATCTGAGTTATGAATTTGATTCTTGATACAAAGACCAAAGACGTTAAGGATTTTTTGCTATTTTCTTCTTCACTTGCCATATCAGAATTATCCGACCTTGCCGGTGATTGCGAAGGCTTCTCGATTTTCTGACACAATAACTGTCCTGCATTTGATATCTAAGTCCATTCACGAACATTTTTATACCATGAAACCTGTTCTTCCTACACTTCTACGGTCTTCGATCTTGCCTTTAAGGATTAGTTTTAGTGTCCAATATCGATTTCCAGTAACTATATGTCCCAGATAAAACATTTTCCTTTGTTTAACAGTATTTAGCAATTCTATATTTTGGTGACCCTCCTTAGTACTTTCTGATTAGTTTTTCTTGCTGCCCAAGGCATCCTCAGCATCCGTCTATGAATCCACATTTCTGATGGTTCAATTCTGTTCATACTTGATACTGTTAGTGGCCACACTTGTTTCCATACAAAAGTATAGACCAAATATAACACTTAACGATTCTTTTCCTTAGTTTTAAACTGAGATGATTATTGAAAAGACATGTCTTCATTTTCATGAAAGTAGTTTTAGTCATTCTTTGTTGTATTTCTATGTTTGGATCTAGTTGGTCCGTTATGATGGTTCTCAAATATATAATTTTCTGAATTTTTTCAATTTGGACTTCATTGACGTTATTGACGTTTCAATTTGCACTTCGAAAATCGTTCTCAAAATTTTTTTAGGGCCATCATCAAATGGGGCTTTCTAAGTATATAGTCATGTGCTTGCATAATTTATACCAGATGTTTGCAATTGCCATGTCGATATCTTTACAAAATTCATACAATCTCTGTCCTCGATTGTTAGGTTATCCAAAAAAATAAGGACCTACAGTGTGATATTGTCAACCTTCCCCAATTTTTGGATTTAAGTCGCCTATATAATATATAATTATATTTCATGTTTATTAAGCTTCTATAGATGTCTAGGATTTGATTATAAAGATTTTCGACTTCATCGTCATATTTCCTTTCTGTCGTCAAAGCATAAATTTTTTGAAGTATATTGGATTTGAATGGTTGAGTATTTATTTGGAGTAATATTATTTTATCCGAGAGTATGGAGTTAGTGACATATTTTTCAGTTCTGATGTTACTAATATACTTTAACCATTTTTGTGATGCGGATCTTCTGTGCTATTACCAGAATAATATAATATACTGCCGTTCTTTTCACATGTTCCTGATTCTGGTCATCTCAATTCGCTGATTCCCGGTAGATCTATTTTCATTCTTTTCATTTTAATATCATAGCATTTTGATAATTTTGAATATCCGTAAAAAACTTGTTTTTAAAAAAAAACAAACTTTGTTTAATTTACTAATGTTTGTATTTTGAGATGGACTGATAGAATTACAAATAAAGAAGTACTGAAGAGGGTTGGTAAAGAAACAGAACTAATCACCACTATACAAACCAGAAAACTGGAATACCTAGGCCACGTGATGAGGGGACCAAAATATGAAATTTTGAGACTGATAATACAGGGAAAGATTCAAGGAAGAAGATCTGTTGGCCGAAGGCAGAACTCATGGTTAAAGAATCTACGTGATTGGTACCAATGCAGATCGATTGATTTGTTTAGAGCAGCAAGTTCTAAAATAAAAATAGCCATTATGATTGCCAACCTCCGTAGTGAGACGGCACTCTAAGAAGAAAGTATTTTGAGAACGACTTCCGAAGTGGAAATTGAAACATCAGTAAACTTACTTTAACCTTTAATTGCAGCTTATTCCCATTTAAATAGTAAATACGTACAAAGTAACCAAGAAACATGAATATGAGTTTGATAGAGAATAGCTTTAAAATATTCTAAAACATATATTATCTGTAGTATACAAGCATATTTTTTGTAGATTACTTTACTTAAATTCTTAAAACTATATTAACTATTGTCTCCTATTGTTAAATGAAATTTCTTTTCAGATTTTAATTCCATGTGTCGTTTAATTCCAAAAACAATCATGGGTTTTGACATCAAGTAGATGAGTGGGAGTGTGTGCCACACATCCACCGGAAAGGAGAAACACACAGTACATTGGTTCCGTAAAGGCTTAAGATTGCACGATAATCCCTCGTTAAAAGAAGGACTGAAAGGAGCCAAAACGTTTCGGTGTGTTTTCGTCCTAGACCCTTGGTTCGCTGGTTCTTCCAGTGTTGGTATTAATAAATGGAGGTAAGTATTTATGTGTATTATTGGCCTGTATATTAGTCTATTAGTATTAAATTAACTATTATACAAGCATTACGCCTTGCTAAAATTTTATTAAGAAATTAAAGAATATATAGTTGATATATAAATAAATAGTTTTCTCAAAGTTAAAAGGGAAAAAGTGACAAGAAAAATAGACATTTTAAAACTGAAGAACCCTGAAAAGAAAAATGAAATAAGTATCAAGGTTGAGAAAAAAATAGTAACGCTAGAGAATTTGGTACAGACAGACGTTAAAGTAACATGGACTGCTCTAAAAACGAAAATAACAAAGATACAACAAGATGATACCGGGTTCACAAAAAACAACAGAAAACAAGAATGGATAATGCACAAAACGAAAACAAAACAAACCCAATAGAATACATACAAGTCAATAGAATAAAAAAAAATGCAGAGAAGCTAACGAAAACTGGATGTCAACCAAATGCCTAAAAATTGAACAACTTCAGGAAAGATACGACACCTTTAATGTCCATAAAAAAGTGAAAATGACAAGTAGACACAGAAAGAGACAAAAAACAATATAAAGGAATAATAATAACAATATAATTATAGGAACAGAAGACAAACTGAAGAGATGGAAAGAATACATTCAGACACTTTTAGACGATGATAGACCTTGTTTTCCACTATCCACGGATGATCGAATAAATGAAAAAGGTCAAAAAATAACAAAAGAAGAAGTTATTTATGCGGTAAAAGCTCAGAAGAACGGAAAAGCCACCGGTCCAGACAATATCAAATACGAAATGTATATCTATAGTTTAAATTAATTACAGACAACGAAAGTAAACGCCTCGACTTAATAACACTAGTAAGTATGGCACAGGTAAAATACCATCAGACTTCAAATACCATCATCATTACCAATGGTGAATTACTTTGGCGCAGTAATAAACAAAAAGAATTACTAAGCATAATCGAAGAGAGAATAATTCAATACTTGGGTCATGTGTTGAGAGGTGAAAAATATGAATTACTACAAATCATATTGGAAGGTAAAGTGCAGGGTAGAAGATCAGTTGGAAGACACCAGAACTCGATGCTGAAAGACCTGAGGAGACCGCTCATCCATAGAAATCGTTTGTGCAATTTTAGTACGACATAGTGGACTAGAACGGGCGAACACGTCAATATGAAAGGCGATCTACTAATATACTCTAGTAAAGAGATGAAGGAAGAGATAAAAAGGGAGTAGGAATCAGGTTTAGTAAAGCCACAAAAACTCTTTCATAAAATGGAAACCTGTTTCAGAACGAATATTCACTGCAAGGATTAGGACCAAATTAAGACAGGTAACACTAATTCATTGCTATGCACCAACAGAACAAGTAACTAAACGAGAAAAAAAGAAGTCTTTCCACGAATGCCTGAAGTCAGATTAGAACAAATTAAAAGATAATTATATAAAAGTAGTGGTAGGATCAATCAAAAATAACAAAAGAATGTACAAAAATATTCAGTGAAAAATAAGAACAGAAATACGAAAGGTCAAAGAAAATTGGTTAAAAACGCAGTGTGAAGAGATAGAGTTGTTGGAACAAGAACAGGATACATTTAATATGCATAATAAGGTAAAACAAGCAGCTGGTCTTTAAAAATCCAATACAGCTAGCAAACTGCAAGATCAACAGGGGAACATCATCACAGACAAAAATCAAGAAATATGCATATGGACCAAATACATACAAGAACTCTTTGATGATAATAAGTTCACTATGACCATTACATATGTAATGACCACTAACCAATCACATCAGATGAAATTCAAAAAGCAATACCATAATTAAAAGATGGCAAAGCTCCTGGACCTGAGAATTCACATGCTGAACTTATAAAGCTATTTAACACCAACGATACTCAACGACTACCGATTATTCAATTACATATATTTAAACAGAGTAATACCAAGATCATGGCTGAAGTCAACGTTTATTGCTCTACCGAAGAAAACAAAATTCGTATCCTGCAATTATTTCCGGACCATCAGCTTAAAGTTTGGCACTGACAACAATAACCTACGACACATTATGGGCAAGCATGACACTGGTCAAAGAAATAATAACGGCGATTGCTTCATTGAACTGTGTGGTAACCATGACCTAATTATTGGAGGAATTTGTTTCCACATAAAACAATCTACAAAGTGTCATGGAATAGCCACACACAACCGCACTTACCATCAAGTCCACCACATCGCAATAAGTAATCTGTGGACAACATGTCTCTTTGGTGTCAGATCATGAAGAGGCACAGATGCCGCTAGTGATTACTACTTGATGATGACCAAAATTAAAATCAAGATAGGTAAGAATAGGAAACAATCGAACAGACCTATTCGAAAACAGTTCAACGTTGAGAAACTACAAAACAACGAGACGAAAATATAATTCGTATGAGAACTAAAATAGACGAAAGACAGGACAAAAATTGGAAAATGATTAGCAATGCCCTTGTGGAAAGAAGTGAAAACATTTTGTGTCTAAAGGAATACGCAAAGAAAGAGTGGATTACTAGAGAAACTTAAAATAAAATAGAACGCTGCAAACATATTAATCTACAACTAAGAACACTAGATTTAAGTTTGTTTAAAAAAATAAATAATTTGAGACAACTGCGCGCCATAACAGGCGTTAAAATCTTAGTGTTGAATCTAGCACTTTCAGATTCAACTCCTCTAAAGACTCCAAATACGCACAAATTTCAGTCTTTAAAACGAAGACAGTACATATTTGAAAAAATCCCGATTTGCCATATTGAATGATATACCTACTTATAAAACAATTTTTTTTATTTGTTCAACTCTTTATCCGCTGATGTCACATATAAACAATTAATGAATCAGAATATACTTATCCATCCATTTAAGCGACACACATAATTAATAAATTTTAATTTTAGGTTCCTACTTCAATGTTTGGAAGACTTGGACCGTAATTTGAGAAAACTTAACTCGAGATTATTTGTAATCCGTGGTCAGCCGGCGGACGCTTTGCCGAAATTATTCAAAGAATGGGGAACGACGGCTCTCACGTTCGAAGAAGACCCTGAACCGTTCGGAAGAGTCAGAGATCACAACATTACGGCGTTATGTAACGAACTAGGAATAACGGTAAATTTAATAGTTTAAATTTATGTATAAAAATTTTGAATATGATACTTTCTACCTAATTAAAAAAGTGTTTTATGATATTGCAAAGTAACTGTATATAATATCTCGAGTTCTTTCATATTAAAATAACGAACTTGTAAGCAAGTAAAAATGTGTTTATTTTTCAAAAATATTAATACTTAATTAATTCTTTATAATATACTTCTGCATAAAATTATGACACTGCTGTGTGTCTTACAATTTATACTCATTTTTCATTAGTCATTCTTTCCTATACATATCTTATCCTAAACTCCTAATAATACTAATCCTACTATTACTAATATTGATCTCTAATATATAGTCTTTTTTTCTTCTATTAGGCGCTTTTTAGTTATTTATATATATAAAATAAGTGATGAGGTCCTCAGAGTTCCACAGCTATCTACTTAATTTAATAGCTACTTTACTGTGGACTGTCCAAGTTTCTCATTTTTTCTCTTTTTTTATTTTTATTTATTTTTTATTTTTATTTGTTTCTTAATTTTTTTTATTTTTTATTTTTTTTATTTTCTTTTTTTTATTTCCTTTTTTTAATTTTTTTTTTATTTTTTTCTTCTTTTTTTTTCTAACACATTACAAAGAAATACTTACTCTACTACTATTTACACTTACAGTTTGAGTTTAATATCTAAAACATGTTTATACAATAATCTACATAAAAACTCATTGTTTTCTAAAGTTAATAAATAACTTAAATTAACGGGATGGTGGACATGGGTCAAAGAATAAAGCGAATTTACAAAATTATTAACATTATTGGAAATAAGAAAACAGTCTAAAATTTTATGTTGTAGGTTGCCCATCTGACCACATGTACATTGTGGTCTATCAGCTAGATTCATTTTACAACATATATGATGGTGTAAGACAGTGGTTAAATCTCATTCTGCGTATAGTTCTTGTCATATTCTTTGTCGACTCCACTTTATTTATACTGTATTTATATTCTCATAAATAAACCTTTCTTTCCATTCCTTCTTAAGCTCTTTGAACGTGTCTGATTCTAATCTCTAGACGTACAAAGATAATGAGTTAATACTCCTTGTGTCACAGCGTTTTTTGCCAATTTATCTACTATCTCATTTTCTGTTATTCCACAATGGCATTTAATCCATGCCAATTTAACAGTTTTGCCTTGTTGCTGAAGTTCTTTCATTTTATTTATTATATATAATTCAACGTAATTCACTTTTGATTTAGGATTTATGGTCCTAATTTTACTTAAAGCACTTTTGCTGTCACTATAAATTATAAACTTTGAATGATTTATATTAGATGAATATTTTAGTACTTCTCCTATCGCTATTAATTCAGCTTGTATATACATGGATGGAATTGAGTTTAAACATTTTACTGTTTTTATTATTGTTATCCCAGTATGCACATCCCACATCTTCGATACTTTTGGATGTATCTGTATATAGTATATAAAAATCTTTGAACAATTGTGAACTGTCAGATATATACATTAATTTTATTAATTATAAAATGCTTCTCCATACTATTAAAAAACTTTTTCCATTCATTTACCGTAATTTTGAAATTTGGTTTTACATAAATAGAATAAATGTTAATCTGTTTACCGGTTTTAATTTTAATTGATATGATACTACACATTACGTCATCGATTGGATGAAAAGTAGGACTATTATAAAAATAATTTTTTTTCAATAGTATGGCCACACCACCATATCCATCATCCCTATCATTCCTAAAGATATTATATCCCGTAAAGCTAATTAAGTTACTTTTCTTTAACCATGTTTCTGATATTAGTCCTATACATATCTATTTTATTGTCATACAAAATTGTTTCTAAATAACCCTTATTTGTTTTAATTGACCGCGCATTCCATTGAAGAATTGATATATTAACCATCACGACTTAATAATAATTGTGAAATATTGTTTTTCAGTAATTCTAACGTTTTTTCATCTAATTTGTGATTAATCTGATTTAAAGTTGTTGAAGTAAAGTTTACTATAATTTCTCCTACATTACTTTGATTATCGTTTTGTATCTCTGTTTTATTATGATAAATAGGGTTGTTAAATTTATAACAAGGCTGACTTTGTACTTTTGGTGTTTGGAAAATTTTTCTGTGCGCTTAAATTATCTCTCTGTCTACGTTAATAGAATCAATACTATCATTGTTTTCGTTTATGGATTGTATACATATTGGAAGTACTTTCTTGTTCTTTATTTACTGTTGAATAATATTTTCTATATTTATTATTAGCTTCGTAATATGTTATATTTTCAGTATTCATAATCTTTTTTATTATACTCCTGTTTTTCTTTTTCCGTACAATTTACTCCCTTGTCAGTAGAGCTATGTTTTCCTTTGCAAAATACATAAAATAGATTGGTAGGATTGAAACAATTTAATTTATTATGTTCTTCACCGCATCTTTCACACCTATCTTTTCCCCTACATTGAGCACGTATATGGTCAAATTTCAAGCACTTTAAACATTGTAGCATTCTGGGTGTGTAATTTTCAACCTTGTATATCATTTTTTCTATTACTACGTTGGTAGGTATAGACTGAGCTTTTAACGTTACTATTACAGTTCTAGTTTTTACATAGATAGTAGATCCATTTTCTTGTACCACTTTCCGCATTATTCTTTTTACATGTAAGACTTCAAACCTCATTCCAAACCTAGGTTGAATTAATGATAACAAATCATCCTCTTTTATCTCTTTATCTACAGATTTTATAACTCCTTTCTTTTGAGTAAAAAACGTTGAAATATATGCCTCATACTGTTTGCTTTTTAAATTATCAGATTTAATTAAGTTATTAGCACTAGTAAAATTATTAAGTTCTACCTTAATTTTATTCCTACCAACTACCGTAATTTGTGTGATATTATTTTCAATTTCAGGTAGGTACTGAACGTAAAATTAATCGGGCCGTGCCGATCCTGTATAATTTGCAGATATTACCGATTTTATTTTCTATATGTACCATATATGGTGCATTATCTCCTAATTTATATCTATTATTTAATCTTAAATTTATAACTTTATTTAAACTTGGACTACCTCATCTATTTATTTTATTAAATTGTGTCAAAGTTGCATCGTTATTAAAATCAAATTGATTACCTACCTCGTTAGTGCTAGTTGTTTGGCTTTTTTTCGTTTGTTACCTTATCATTTACTCTAATGTTGCCATTTTTTAAATTCTTTAAATTCCATCATCCTATTTTCTCCCAACTCTATATAAAATTTCCCTCTATCTGGAGGCTTCGGTGGAATTTCTCCCATGTCGATTTTTTTAAGATTTCACTACCTACACACGAAATATACACTTTCTTACAGACCACTAGTTTAATGTGTCTTTACCACTGCAAGTGATACCGTAAAAGTGAAGAAAAACCCTTTAAAATTGATATTTTTTGTATGAGCTTCAAAATAATGCGCCTTTCGATTTGACGTTTATTTGACCATAGCAATAATAAAAGGAGAACTGAGTACAATATTTAACTCACAATTTTTTTATTTTCCTTTTTGTCAAATAAGTAATTTTTAACCAGTTTTACGGTACAAATAATTAAAAAAATAACAAGAAAAGCAGAAGGGATAACAGTAACAACTTTATTATAGAGGCATCGCTGTGACAAACTCAGTTGGTAAAATAAACGGAAAAGTTCTTTTTATGTAAACATAACTTTGTTTGTTTTTCTCTGCCTCCAGTAAGTTTTTTTATCGTTTTTGTGGTCTTTATATTGGGGAACCGTCTGTTGCCGTCTTTACTACTATATTTGTTGTCATTATGCTTATATGATCGTTTCATTCTACTCTTATATTTCTTACCAAGTTCTTGATGTTCTCCACCTTGCGTCTACTTCGTATATCCGTACTTCTAGTGACCATAAATTTTTCTGATTTCAAGTGTTTTTATCTCTGCTGTTTTTAATATCCTTTTGTCCTCTCTGTGTCAGGTCGTGTTTCTGCCGTGTATGTCATTATTGGCTGGATAACTTTTTTGTAAATTCTACCTTTCATTTCTTTCCCGATATTTTTGTTTCTCAAACTCCATCACTTGTTCTATTATCTGACCTTCCAGCTCCAATTTACATCTTAGTGAATTTGCTGTTCTAACCACGCATTTTGTCTTTTTGAGGACATTAATATGTTTAACTTTCTGGCGGTTATATTAAATTGATGCAGCTTCTCAGCAAGTATCATAACATATTTACTTCCATATTTTCAGGTAGTACAGCACGTATCGCACACCCTTTACCATCTTCAACACATAATAGACAGAAATGGAGGAAAAGCGCCATTGACATATAATCAATTTCTGGCGATAATAGCTTCGATGGGTCCACCTCCTAAACCAGAATTACCAGTAAATGCTTCTGTTTTAAATGGAGCATACACACCGCTCAGTGATGATCACGACGAAAAATATGGAGTTCCAACGCTTGAGGAGCTTGGTTTCGACACTGAGGGTAAGTTAAAATACTAAGTATACACTTCGATACTACATAATATACTTCGATAGTTACTTAGAGATAAATATATGAAGTATACATTGAACGCCGCTTATGTTCCCGAAGAGTAAGTTTTCGATACAGATACAGAAGAAGCATATGGAAAACATAACTGAAAAAGCAAAATACAAGCAAGATTTTGCACAGTTTGGAGAAGGAGGTCGAACTAATGTGTTACCCAGCCGTGACACCATTCAATATGTTAAGCTTTTCTAATGGCACACGAATGTACATGCCATTATTGTACCACCTGTGTCTGTGTAGATTTCCTAAACATATGTCGAACGTAATGCATTTCAATATCTTGTTCTTCGGCACGAATCTAATTAAAACCATATGTAGATGGGTAAATAAAACTGTAGCAAGTTATTTTCATTTCAATCTTATATTTGACACTATTATTTGCAAAACTTGCTCAAAAGTAATTTTTTTGGAAATCGAAAAAAAAACGAATAACGGCCGAGTAGTGTTTTGCTCACAACGTAAAGATTATTTTTTTATGTCGCTTAGAGTTTTTAGCAACAGAAATTAGAAGTTTCTAGCCTAAAATATTTAAAAATTTTTAGAAAAAAAATGTTTATCGCAAACAAACAGTTTTGCAAATAAATATATAAAATAATAACGAACCATATTTAGTTTAATAAAAAACATAAGGGACTTATTCATGAAAATAAAACGTTAAGATTTTTAGTCATATAAAAAAAATGTTTAAACGAAAAAAAATCAAAAGCAGTCGCAATCAGTCATGCTCAAATGAAAAAACAATAATTTTCTACATTTTGTCAATTTTCCAAAACATCAACGGTTTCTTCTGGTGAGGTAGAATCTGTCTTCAAGTGTTCTTTGTAAAAATTTAGTTCAGGAAGGCTTCTCCAATTTTCTCCATAGTGTTTGGAACGAAAACTATTAATAGTCCCTTAAACCCCCTTCAATTCTTTTCCCAGTGGTAATTTCTTAGGAGCTATTAAGCTATAAAGAGAAAAAAATTTCTTACAAAAGCTTTTAGCTTTTCCAACGTCGTTTTGGTACTTGGGTTAACATTGGGTAGAACATTGTTGCCCTTTTTGTAAAAAAATAAACCGATTTGTCTTATTAAATTCAAAGTGCCATGAACTAGGCAGCTTAATAACTCGTTTTGTTTGTGTCCTTCAAGCAAATACATCCCAATCCATACCGATTTTCCGTACAGTGAATGCATTCTGATTAAATTGTCGTAGCCACCAACTTCCACGATAACAGGCATTTTTTAATGTCTTTATCATTGAAAAAATTATGATATGAAAAATTAAAATTGTTTAATATGATTCGGCGATTCTTATAGAAGCCAATAAGCCAACATTCTATCATATTCGAATTTTTTAAGTCCGCCGCAACCATCAGCGAAAAAACGTACTGTTTCTATGTTGACATCAAAATCAAAATTCTTTAGAGCATGTTGCAAAGCTGGCGCTATTGTATTAGAATGTTTTCTAGAGTCAATTTCTGTCCACACGTAAGAACTCACATTTGTTGGTTTTAGTTTATCGGTAGAAGTTCCAGTAACAACTGTAATATTATTATAGTGTATTTGCTGGCTGAAATATGCTGCTTGATCAGGCAGTCTAGGCAGTGCTATGATTTGTGGCAGTCGAAAGAAAAATAAGTTGTGTTGAGCTTTGGATTTTAAAGGAGTTTGAAAAAAGCCTTTGCTTTTACGATATGAACACGATGCTCAGTGGATAACTTTTGCTGAACAGCTAAAGAAGTTGCTACTTTCAACTGCTCCTTTGTTTTCAAGCAAGCGGAGCAACTGTCAGTCAGCTGAGTTACAAAAGCGATGTTATAGTTAATATTCACATACTTTTGAAAATAACTAAGCTTCAAATGCATAGGCTGAGGCACTCTTCGAAGATAATGGTCAAACAGTTTCTTAAAATTCAATTCACATGGCAAGTAAACCCTCGCGCTTCTATAATTCTATAAATTTTTTATGCAGTTTCTTTTTTCATCCTTGTCTTCTTTTTCCCTTGTCTAAATTTGCGATTCCTAGAAACGACTTGGCACATACTCTAATTATCTTACCCCCACTCAAACGTACATGATATTTTATCGACACGGCATGATTAGATTTCCCTCTTTTTGGTTTTTGTCCCTTACAATAAGTAAATATGAGAAGGTCTTTTTTACTTTTATCTTTTGACTGAAAAAGGTAGGCATAAAAATCTATCACTTTCTTCATCGTGAGTGTGGTACGGCAGTACTTTTGGTGTATTTCTGTAACAATACAACTCTTTTAATAAACTTTTCTGTAACCCTACCCAACCTTAAAAAGTGGAAAACAAGTGAAACTGCATAAAAAATCAAATGATTGTCTCAGAAGTCTAAAATTATAAATTTTAACATGAAGCTCTTAGCTAGCAAGTTTATCCACATTCCTTTAATGTGTTTCTGACTGAAGAACTTTTTTGCGTCCTTTTCCCCTGTGACCTAGGTTTAACAAAACAACCATTTTCACTTACTAACTCCATAAAAATAAAAAAAAAATGTTCTTATTTCGCCAAAATACAACTATTTAATCGCTTGAATAATTATAAACTACTGAAAATTTGATTCTTCAACACAGCTGTTGTAGTATCGGCAATTTCACTGGTGTTAGAGCAGACAACAAGTTTTGCAGGTAAACCTTCAAAACAAAGAACGAGTTCTGCAAATAACTGTAATTTTCTCGACAGCATTTGTATGCTAAAGAACGAACTTTGAGAAATTCTGATTATATTATTCGATTCCTATTTAAAATTGATATAAATTTATTAAAAAAAATAATTTTCGAAACCTTCGTCGATTTTTGAAAATAATGGCCTCATGTTCGACACTACTTTAATCTTGCAGCTCAATTGCCTCTAAAAAGGGATGGGCATTTGAAGGGTCTTAGACTATAAATTGTCTTTATAGTCGAAGACTATAACACTATGACGAAGACTATGACATACGAAACGATCTTTAAAAATTGTCTTCGTGGAGACGATTCCTTACAATATCTCTACCCATAGTGATGAAGAATTAAAAATATGTTTATTATAATTATTTTGATACACAATAAAGCGTAATATTTGATTGATCTCTTGGTAATCTAGTAGCTGTGTTTGCTAGATGGAGCATTCTCTGGCAAATATTATATTAGCAATCAATGATAGATCCTTTGTAAATAAAACATATTAGCATGAACCATATGAATATTTATAATAACACAGATTTTGTGTAAATTTAAAAATAGATTTAGTATTTTGTTCATAAAATGATTCAATATCCTAACCCCACAATGTTTAAAGTAGTATACTATATATGTTTTAGGACTCAATCCTCCAGTTTGGCAGGGTGGGGAAAGTGAATCCTTATCTCGCCTAGAACGTCACCTGGAGAGAAAAGCTTGGGTAGCATCATTCGGCCGCCCTAAGATGACTCCCCAATCACTACTTCCCTCGCAAACTGGCCTTTCTCCTTACCTAAGATTCGGCTGTTTGTCCACAAGACTTTTTTACTACCAGTTAACAGATCTGTATAAAAAAATCAAAAAAGCGTTTCCTCCGTTATCGCTACACGGACAACTGCTATGGAGGGAATTCTTTTATTGCGCTGCTACCAAGAATTCGAATTTTGATAAAATGTTCGGTAATCCCATTTGTGTACAAATTCCGTGGGACAAAAATGCAGCGGCTTTGGCAAAATGGGCAAACGTAAGTACATTATTATTATATTCTTTGTCTACTTCACTTACCTAGATTGTATATTACTATAGATGCATCACTTGATAATTTTTTTTTCTTTTTTTTTCCTTGGCTTGGACAATGTCATTCAGCCAGTCTCCATCAACATAAGTTTTGTTAAAGAATTTAAATATGTCAATTAGTGAAACATGATTAATATAATAATAATAACAGCTAAGCTAATGTACATACTATGTTAATAAATACTATATCATACCTTTATTATAATTTAGTTATTGAGAGAAGCCATCAGAAATTGATAGTGTATACATCTTACAAATAAAAAAAAATAAAAATATCTATCTACTATGTTAATAACTATAACTATGGTAATACATATTTTTTTTCACTACGTTAGGACATATACCCGATTCAACATCTCGGAGGTTTAGATCCTCTTAGTGATTGTTTTAGTATAAATATGATAATTTCTTGTTTCTCTTAAATTTTTTGACGTCGTGACCATTTGGTTTTTTTATCTAATATTATTTTAAATTGTCCATGCTTCCCTTTACCTTACCTTTCTAATATATCGGCTGTAGCTCAGCGGCTATATAACTGGATTAACCATCTGGAACGCCTGAGTTCGATTCTTGGCACTGACGCCAGAATTTTTTAATTTCTAATTTTACTGAGCCACATGCGCATATTTATTGCAAATTGTGACTACTCGCCGCTGATTGAAACATAGCCTTCGTTACTACCAACTTACGGTTACTTTTCAATAATTGCTGTGATAATCCCTATAACTATTGCTGTAGTTTCCAAAGCTTAGTTTATCTGTTAGATCAAAAAGTTTCTGCCTTGGCAAAAAGTACATGGACAATTTGATATATTATTTTCATATCAAAATCTCTCGAGTATATTAATTTCATTCAAATAACTAACATATTTTTACTCGTTGGTGCAAATATGCTACTATATCTTAGTTAAAGTATAGTAAGGGCAGACTGTTTATCATATAATTTGTGCTATAGGGTCAGACGGGATTTCCATGGATAGATGCCATAATGACGCAGCTACGCCAAGAAGGGTGGATCCACCATATTGCAAGACATGCAGTCGCTTGTTTCTTAACGAGAGGAGATCTTTGGATATCATGGGAAGAAGGAATGAAAGTAAGTTCAAAAACATCTTTATATTTTTTAGCACCAATATTTTAGGAAATCCACTTTTCCTCTTAGTAAGTGGGGATATATAAACGGAATAATAGGCAAATGCGATGTAATAAAGCTCAAGTAAATTTAGGGTACTTGAGACTGTTAGATACTGATATTTTTAAACATAATTGTAATTTTTAGTATCTTCGAATATCCATGGTAAATAATTGAAACCCCATATGTTCATTTTTACTGGAATTCTGTTTTTGTGCGTTAAAATCAGTTAGCTATTATACATGCTTCAAAACCTTCTATGTCAATGTTTATTTTTAAAGGGCCATATTAAAGCAATAAAGTATTTTCTCTGTCAATGTCAATTTATATTTTTTAGCGGCTCAGACTTTCTATGGGTTGATTGGTACAGTGTACAATTGTACAGTGTACACTGTACCAATTTTGTTCTGAATCTGAAGCTATTTTCTTGTGGCATTTTAAAGGCTTACTATATTAATGGGTTTAACATTTTAAACTTCAATTGGGGCTTATTTCAGTTAAAATAGTAACAGTAGCAATTTCTCCCATTTGTTAAGTAAAAGATCTAACAAAAATATACAGGTTTTGTTTTTTTTTTGTTTAAAATGGTGAGAAATTACAAAGCAAAAACAAACCGTGCAGATATAAATGCTGCAGATGTAAAAAAGCCGTATGGAAAGTAATTAAAAATAAAACAACAATTAAAAATGCTGCTTGAATGTTCAACATATCTAAAATCACTCTTCATAGGCATGTGCAAAAATTAAGGTTTAAAACCTCCCATTTACAAATTGGTGATCCAGCAAATGAATCGCTTAGTAAAGACGATTCTCCACATACGTCAAAATTCGCATCTAGATAAGTCTACTAAGCAATAGAAATAGCTGAATTGGAAAAGTATTTTTCAAAGTCGTCAGCATGAATTTCGGTTTAACGTATTCAAACGCCAAATCACTGATCTAGCAGTATTATGCTGTAGCCATAAAAACAACTTACCTTCAAACTGGTCTCAACATCAGCAAGCGTACAAGGAATGGATGAGAGGAATTATAAAACTTTATCCTAACTTGTCTTACAGGAATCCCGAAAACGTTAGTATTTCTTCATCATCTGTCTTCAATCCAGCAGATGTTAGAGTATTTTTTTAAAATTATGTAATCGTTCTGACAAAATATAAATTTTTTCTGGATCAAATAGTAAACCTGGACGAAACAGGAATAACAACAGTGTTGCACATACCAAAAATTATTTGTCAGAATAGAACAAAGCAAGTTGGTCAATGTCCATTGTATTTGCTGAAAGAGAAAACTTAGTAACGTTCTACGGTTTTATTAAAGTGACTGGTTCAACTGTCCTCCCTGTGTATATATTTCCGAGGGTGCATATAAAGGATAAGTTTATGTTTGGATCGGTATCTGGTGCAGTGTGGATTGCATCTAAACGTAACTGGATGACGGCGGATATTTGAAAAGTTGCTGGAAAACACCAAAAAACATATGAGTTGCTTCCTTGATAAAAAATACTGTTAATTGTCAATAACCATGAAATCCCATGTTTCTTTTGGTGCTATAAATTATTTCAGAGCAAATGGACTGGTTATGTTACCATTCCCACCACACTGAACCCCTAAAATGCAGCCCCTAGACGTGGGAGTATAAGGACCCTTTAAAAGTCGATGCAAGGTGGCTTTTAATGACTACATTTTAAACCGCCCTGGCAAAGGAATCACAATATACGATATTGCTCAGTTAACCGCCAATCCATCATCACTATTACTTTATCTGGTCAATATAATTAATGCTTACCGATGTGTGGCATCTGGTCTATCAATTCATAAACTTTTAACGATTCGGATTTTATTAGTGTTTTGCACGAAGAGCAAATTCATTTGGACAAGAATAAAGAAAATTCCACTTCAGAAGAAAATAAGTCTTCTAATTCCAGTCAAGAACATCATCGCAGAGGCTCAACGTTGCTCAAAACAACTCTCGAACGTTCAGCGAAAATTAATATTATAAGCAAGGTTCGTTTAGTTCCTGCCAACCACACAAACGAAAATATTACAAAGTTTGTGACTTTACTTGTTATTGATATTGTGAACACTGCCCTATATAATATTACAAGTTCCTCTAAAGCATAAAAAAACAATTTCTCAGTCCGCAAGATTTAAGGCCTAATCCAACATTTTCTTTCAACCAAAAATAGTTCAATCACAAATAAGGTCGATTCAAAATTTATACCAGTACACATGAAAAGAATGAAATTGAAATAGAAACACAAATAAGAGAAGAAGAAAAGAAGGTAATGTGGTGAAACATGATTTTAAAAGTATACAACTAGAATAAAAAATCGAGAAAGTAACTCAATTTCATTTGGCCAAGGTAGTAGTGATAGTAAAAAAGTGGTCTATTGTAAGATCTAAACCTTCAAAAGGAAACTTTTTTTCTTCAAGTGATTCAGATGCCTCATTGGAAATGAAAAATTCTTCAGATTCAGACATAGACATGAACGAAGATTATAAAATAAATGGGTTACTTAACGATACCAACATTGCTATCTTCTTGTTTCAGTACCCTGTCCGATTATCGAACGTTGGCGATCATATTGGCAATAATAACTTTATTGACGGCGGTTCTAAATAAATTAGCGGTGGTTTCTTGATACCATTCTCGGAGATTTCGGAGCCAAGATGTTCTTCGTCGGCCTGGGCCACTCCTTCCGGCGATCTTACCCTGTATTATGAGGTGTAGAAGGTTATACCTTTCTGGATATCTCATTACATGACCGAAATATTGTAACTTTCGAATTTTTATCGTTTTTGTTATTTCTGTGCTCTTTTTCATTAGATGTAACACTTCATTATATAGGGCAGTGTTCACTTCATTCCTTATTCGATCAACCCAACTTATCCGCAATACTCGTCGATAAATCCACATCTCAAAGGCCATAGGGGCTATAGGGGATTTTAACATTGGTGGCATTGGGCCATAACATTGCTATAGGGGATTTTATTTTTATATGCGATACAAGATATTAACTCTATACTTAAATGTGATATTGTAGCTAAACTGCCAAAACACAACGAAGTGCCAAGGAGTAGATACAAAAGGCTGGCATCTTATATTAACTTAAATCCTAATGTGGCCCACCGTGGGGTACATTAGGAAAATGATAATGTATAAATGATAATGTAGTATGTAATTTTATTTCTATTTTTTTTTTTTTTTTTTCATAAACTATTTATAAATTTATAATTAGTTCGCAAAAAATAATATCGTGAAACATTATACTAACTATTCCCATTTTTGCTTTACTTGCTAATAAACAGTGTGAAAAAATTATAAGCTCCCGATAAAAAATGTACCAAATTACCCAACCCAACCCAATCCTTTCCATTCTTCACCATCGTTATAGTAAGTGAAATCACTAATATTATTGTTTTTTAAGGTATTTGAAGAACTTCTGTTAGATGCAGACTGGTCTGTTAATGCTGGTTCCTGGATGTGGCTGTCGTGTTCCAGTTTCTTTCAACAATTTTTTCATTGTTACTGTCCCGTAAAATTTGGAAGGAAAGCTGATCCCAATGGTGATTATATAAGGTATGAGTTCACAGAAAGGATAAATCTTTATTTGGTTCACTGATTACATTTTACAAGTTCAGCACCTCATAACATTAACAATGTATAAAATATTTCTAGGAGGTTCTTCTTATATATATTATTGTGATATTCAAAATATTAGTGCGCCAAGCAATTAATTAGCTAATTAATTAATTAATTAAAATTATTTAAATGATATGATTATGATTCTATCACACTTTTTAATTCTCTTATCTCAGGGTTATATTCGTGCTTCAATATCTATGCTTTACATGTGAAAGGTAAGGTCCAGAGAATACCGGAATAATAAAAAACACATATGATATAACATTATATATTGAAATAAAAATAATGAAATAAAATTCACACTCAAATGTGTTCAATAAACAATATCTCATATAATGATTCTCTAAATTTTTTTCTACGTACGTGAACCTTCAAAATTAATGGTACAAACAATATAAGTTAAAATCTCAAAATCCCAATTATTATTCTAAATCTCCTAATCAAAATATGTATGTCTTTTCTAAAGTAATTGTAAAAATTGTGTTATCAATAAAAGAAAAACTGCCGAAAAACAAAACTATCTCTCTCTCTGATGATGAGTGGTCCAAATCCTTGTTCCTTGTAACCTATACTATCTATTCTTAACAGCTCCCTAGGTAATCAGCAATCTTACAACAACTTGTTGCAAGTTTATCGTCCTTAATGATCTCCTTCAAATGCACGAATCGTTCAAATTATGCTAGCCTCTTCTCCTCTCGATAAACTGAATCTCTCGTTGGCCTGAGTAAAAAATGACTCTTAAAATATCTTCGCTTTACGATAAACTGAATCTCTCGTTGGCCTGAACAGTGACTCTTGGAATATAAGTAGAAAAATATGACAATCGTAAAATAGTTTCGAAACACAATTCAGATTTCTGCTTTTATCTGTGCTTTCTAAAAATTGCAAAGCAAAACAGACGTTGATAAAGGTGTTAAAAGAGACGTGGGGAATCTAAAATTTGCATTCCACGACACATCTTTTCAACTAAGCAGAAATCCTTAGCGAATTGGTTTCTAGTACTCGTACAGAGTAAATCCGAAAAAAAGGTGAAAAAGACAGCAAATATTTGATTTCACGCAAACAGCGCCTTTGTATCTGTTGATACGTATTTCGACCTAATAGGTCTCATCAGAACAGTTATTCAAAGGTGTTCTCAACGTGAAAGATCAATATTTTCTGTCTTTTAAGAAGCAACAATAACATGGCTTCGATACGGACGCAGAAAAATATGACTTACAATATTTTACTGGATCAGCTTCTGTCAGATATACTAACTACACGAAAACTCACAAACTTTCACTGCTACTGCTTCCTACCTTTGGGAAACTACCCGAGAACAACGGCCGTTCGCCTTGCACCCTTGGAAACCAACTGCCCATCTTTTTATTTCTTCCAAAACTAACTAACGTCTCATTCTCAAACCAACTATCCCACCTTTTTCAATCTCATCCAATCAAAACGCGTCATACATCTCCCAATTCTTCATTTCGATAACACAAACAAATTTTTACCTATAATTATAAAATTTCCTAAAACTTATTTACAAAATAATCTTTTTCTACCAATTCTTATGAACTAACAAAAACATATCTTTCTAAAATCTATTCTATTGTCCTAATTACTGCACAAATTTATTTGGAAAACCCGCTTCCATTGTCTAGGATTTCACTTAAGCCCATTCACGTCACTAAAATATATTTTAACAAAGAAAATATTTTATGCATATCTTACGTTTTGTTCAATATAGGTAATCCCAAGATAAAAGACTTTCATTCTTCGAAATGTTTGTAGTTTTTATACGACTTATCTGAATTATTTTAATTTTTTGAACTTTGAAATATTTTAAGCAAACCAATATTTTTCTCGATTTTACATATCATAACAATATATATATATATATATATATATATATATATATATATATATATATATATATATATATATATATATCAAAACTACTGCATACATGTTAAAATCACTTTTAACATATATGCAGAATAATAGGAAATAAGCAAAGACAAAAATATATATTCTCCCTGATGTTCAAATTATCTTCTCAACAAGATTTTTCAAATGTCAAAAAAATAGGAGTACAAAAAGTGTAACACTGACTATTAGGATATCAGAGATTAGAGCAAAAAACCACACAATCAGAAGAAAATATTATAATACAGTTTAAAGAGAGTACTAATAGGGGAACAACAAACAGTTGTTCAGAGAAAAAAACAGACTTAAAGCTAAAAAAATAGTGTCTACTGTGTACGAGTATTTAAGAAGAGCAATGTCTCAGGCGGAGCAAATAAGACGTTGTGAATGCATGACAGGCGTATCGTCATCCACTGTTTACAGGATTGTCAGTCAAAAACAACGCTTGGGTAAAGTCTAAGTCCCAAAAACAAATCTACCAGATCGAGAACCCATTAAATTTAATGAACATAACAATTCAGAAATAAGACGGACATTTATTTTATTTTATAAGTAAATTCCTACTCTAGACAAAATTTTTTCTGCAATAAAAACTAATGAAGTAATTCCCCAAATGAGTCGTGAAACTTTGCGTAAGCAGTTACATAAATTGGAATTTACTTATGCTAAGTACAACAGGAATTCAGCGTTGAAGAGAAACCTAAAATCATTAAATGGCGTCGCAGCTATATGCGTAAAATGTCAGAGTTCCTTGAACAAAACAGAAAAATGTATTATTTAGACGAAATTTCGGTCAATCCTGGACATACTGTTAAAAATGTGTGGACTGACATTACTATAACAAGTAGTCGGCATGCTTTTGTTGAAGGTCTATCTCAAGGATTGCGAGGACCGACAGGTGGTAGCGACTCGTAGTGACCTTGGTAGTGACAGCGGCTTTTTAAAAGAAGATGGTTAATTTTTTGTTATAAAAAAATCCGGTGATTGCCACGAGGATATGCAGATCGTTTTATGCCATGTAGAATACAAGTGACAAGTGATGTGTACCATATTTGGATAAAATATTTTCAAATTTTGGCCTACCCTTACCCCATACGGATCGGCATCTGATTAAAATTTTTAATTTACTTTTTATTACTTTTGGCCAAAAAAAAAAGCAGGGAGTGTTTGTTAAATAATTATATTAGTGGTTTTCTCCAGTTGTTTTGCAGCTACTAAATAAGGTTTACTTATTAAGATGCTAAATTATTAGATTACTAAATAAGATGCAGATTATAAGATTCACCATATGACAATTACGTAAAAGTTGTTATCGCTTAAAGAAAATTTGATTTACTTAATTATATTATACAATACATTCACCCTTTGCATTGCCCTTTCTTAGTGTTCCCTCGTTAAGAATATTGAAGTTACAATAGTGTTGCAAAAATTGATAAAATAAGTAATTTTCTTTAAATCAATAATGAAAAAGAACAGCGAGAATAAGGATACCTAGAAATATTGATCGATCAAGAGACACTGAGAGATAAATACAGGTGCAAAAATAGTTGATTTTGGGGTCGAAAGCATGAATAATTTAGTGCTACAAAAGAAAATTAACTAATCAATTAAATTAGGATAATTGAAAAATAAATGACCACATAAACTGAATAACGCTAATAATTATTTTGAGAAATAACTCATCCGTATTATCTCTTATATTATGGTGTATAACTAATTCAATAAATAAAGCAATAGTTAATGTATTAATGTTGATGAGCTGTAAACTTTATTATTATTTATTAATATATTATTATTAACTGATACTCATTTTTTATAGAAAGTATCTTCCAGTATTAAAAAACATGCCAACTCAATACATCCACGAGCCTTGGTTGGCTTCCGAGAAAATTCAACAAGCTTCGAAATGTATCATAGGGAAAGACTACCCTTTACCAATGGTTAACCACGGAGTCGCCAGTAGAATAAACATTCAAAGAATGAGACAGGTGTACCAACAGCTGGCCAATTACAAAATGGTTGAGAATGCGAGGTTTGAAGTCAAAGAACAGCAGATTAGGGAAAATTCTATTATAGATAGTGCTGTTTGAAATTTCAGAAAGCGTATTTAGTATCTGTAAATAAAAATGAGGGTTGTTAATAATGTTACAGTACCTTACATATTATGTCTTCTGAATGGAAATTTATTTCGCTTTCTATAAAAATTGTACAAATATCTTAAATAAAACCTTTACAGGTACAATACACAAAGTACAATACACTAGAAGTAGATCAAAATTATATAAGGCCTTTCATTTTAAATAGGGGCCTTTGTTATCAAGACGTCGCTCGTAACAGAGGTAGAAATATTCAGTATTGACACTTGCGTTCAAATTATATTTAAATTTGGTTTGTTTTTTATTTATTTATTGTTGATATTAATTATTAATAACATCATGTTATGTTATACGATTACGTTTTCCTTGTAATAGAAACGATAAGAGAGTAAATAATACAAAATGTTATCAAATTTAATTGGTATTTATAATAATAGTTATCCATACTGATAGTAAGAAACCTAACTTCCCAAAAATGACAAACCACCATTAAGAAAATCATCCAAATCGGGCACCAGGTTCTAATCAACATATATTTTAAACTTAAAAGTTATTTTTTGTTGGTCGTTTATTTCTTGGAAAAGTACACATTCCTCTGCATACAAAAGTATTAATAAGTACATATTTTAAATATAACTAGGTATCTTCTTCTTTACGTGCCGTCTCCTCTCAGAAGGTTGGCAACCATCATACCAATCCAAATCTTCGAAGCTGCTGGCTTAACTGCTGTTGAACCATGCTCTTACATTGTTTAGCCAGGAAACGCGTTTTCTATCTCAGCTTTTTGGTCCTTCTATTTTTCCCTGCATGTTCACCTGCAGCAGTTCATAACACTCAACTCTCATGACACAATTATTGCAACTTGCTAATTTTAATTAGGACTTCTTTTTGTTTTCCCATTCTTTTCAATACGACGTCGTTTAAATTGAACTTATTCTAAGTATTTTTCTGGAAGCTTCCATTTAACCCCCTCTGTGTCTCAGTGGTAAGAGCGCCTACCTTTAAAACCTAAAGGTCGTGAGTTCGAATCTCACCTGGGTGGAAATTTTCGTTTATTAAAAAAAATTAATAAATGAAAATAATTTCTATCCTTGTGTGATCGGTACTCACCGGAGGGACCGCAGACGTTCGGATACAATTAGCGTCTCTTAGCAAAGACAATGACGTCGACTTTGCTAAGTATCAAGACAATTACTCTACACCCACAGACACACACACACACACACACACACACACACACACACACACACACACACACACACTACATTAATAAACTTATCTTGATTGAGACTGGCTGAATGACAATTGTCCAAGCTAAAACACACAAAAAAAAGCTTCTGTTTCTCTAGCGTCCAAGTCTCCACTCAATACAGCAGCACAAAGAACACCTAACACTTTAAAGGTCCAATATTTAATACGATCGACAAATCGCTGTTACACAAAACATTATTTATTTTGGTAAATGCGTATCTTGCTTGTCAAATTCTTGATTTTATTTCTTCAATATATTAGTTGTTCTTATTAAGTTGATCCTAAATATTTGTATTTTTAGACTTTTATTATTTGTTCTCCGAGAATCATTAGGCTGTCTTGTCTTTGTTGTGATTTAACAATTAATATAAATGAAGTTTTTTTCATATTCACAGTTTGACCTTTTTCTTTAATGTGTTTAACAACTCGATTTACTAGCTGATGTAGATCTTCGAGACATTCCACTATCAGTGCGTATTATCCGCGTATCTTAAAATGTTGATAAATTTTCCGTTCCGTTCATTTGTATGCCTATCGTTTGTCTTCTACAGTTTCTTGAATAATTTCTTCGAAATATACATTGAATACGATAGGTGTGATAATATTAATCCTTGTCTGACAACTCTCCTTATTTCGAATTCATGCAAGCGTTCATTCCATTTCTTCATTATGGCTGTTTGAATATAGTAAACTTCGGTAATAATTCTAATGTCTTTTGTACCTTAATTCTTTCATCGGAGTAGTTTTATGAGGCCGCTGTGGCTGAATTGATCGAATGCTTTGTTGTAGTCTAAAAAGCAGACATACAGTGGTCGATTTATATCCATGCACCTTTGGACCAACACAGTCATTGCAAATAAGGCTTCTCTTGTTTCAAGAACCGTGAAACCTAAAACCAAATTGTGTCTTGCTGATATCTTGTTACAGCCTTCGATAGAATCTGTTATGAAGAATTTTTAAGAATATTTTGAGGATGTGACTCAACATGCTAATCGTTCAATGATCAGAGTATTCTCTTGCATTTGGTTTTTTAGGTAATGCAATGAAAGTAGACTTCAACCTTTCTTTAGGAATCGTTCCTATATTGTATAGAGTTATACAAATCTTCTAGTATGTCTATATGCTCCTCGTTGATCAGTTAGAATATTTCTCCTCGTCTTTCGTCTTCAAAAAGTTCCTTTATGTATCCTCTCCTGAATGTATATGTCGGATGATTTGAAAATGTGGTTAAACTTACCGAAGGCTGCGAAGCCAGTCTTACACGACGGAGAAGCTCAACGGTTCGGTTATCATTTCCCATGCGAATCTAGGGGCCTAAATATTTATAACCATTACCTGGCCTATGGATCTTGCCCTTGCGCATATATCTTGACTAAAAGATTTTTCATCATCTGGGTTTTTAAATATATTTATTTTTAATCCCCCTTCTAGGGAGGAAAGGTAAAGCTGACTTAAAAGTTCTATGGCCTCATATACATGTATCAGCTATAAGCACAATATCATCAGCAAATCTCATGTGTCTAATTTTTTGTTCGTTTATGTTTATGCCCTTGTTGGTCAGTTTTGCCCTTTGAAATATATATCCCAAAAGCGTGGTTGGCAGTTAAATAGGTTAATAGCAAACAAGAATTAAATATAATGATGACGCATACGAATTTAGCCGACCATTGATTTTCAGTGTGTATTCTATATCCGAAAGTTCACCAACTAGTGTTTCATATACCTACCTGATCCGAAAGTATACGATATACTGATGAAATATCGTATACTGTACACTGAACTTACAAATTCGATAATATTTTAATATGTTTATATATCTCTTGGTATTGACGATACTGATGGGATCTTCTGCAGAATGTAAATCATTGTCAGACAAAAAAGTATATATGTATATATTTTTAAAAAGTATATATTAAGAGGTTTTTACCTCGAATCAAATAAATAAACGTATTATTGTTGTGAAGGTTTTATAATATATTTATTTTGTTACTGATATTCTATTTGGATATAAGTCTGTAGGTATTAAAAGTTATTCTTGTGTGTCATATAATAAACTATTTATTGAAGAAATGTGTTTAATTTTTATTACCTATTTAAATACTAAACAAATCTGGCCTAAAGGTAGAAATACGACCAGTATGATTGTTTTCTTTTACCTAGGTCCATGACAGTCTTTTGAAGCATTTGAAATGAGTGTGGTTCAAAATAAAAAAAAATTGAATGTTATACAATTGTTTAGAAAAGCAGCTTTGGCACCCACCAAAACTGTTGGTGACTTGTAAATGTGTATTTTAAACATATAGTTAGAAAGTAAACTGATTACATCCTAGTAAACAAACGATTCCAGAACAGCTTTAAAAGAGTAGTCGCTTAAACTAGAGCAGACGTTAACTCAGTCCACAATTCACTAATCGGTGAATTCAGGTTTAGAGGTAAAATTATTTCTAAACTACCCAAATATGGGATACAATATCACTGCTTTAGAAAATATGAAACAAATGATGATTTTTACTGCATGAAAAATTAGAATAGTGTCCAGGAAAACCCTAAAACAGCTCTTTTTTTTCCCATACAAATATTTTCTAACTAAATGTAGAGTCAATTTGAACTTTATTGCTATTCAATAAAGTTTATATTAAATTACAAGCACTCACTATTGTCTAAACAATGTAGGTGTGTTCCTAACGTCGAAGATTAAATTTGCGCTTTATTGTCGCTGCACAAAGTTCAAATTTAATCAAATGTATGTGTGTGCGCGTTCGTGTGTGTGCGTGTTCGCGTTGGAGGATCTAATGCGTTCACACAAAAGTGATAATATCGTGAACCCGACCAAATTGAAAAGTCAAAAAATGTAAGAGCTATATATTTGATTGGCCTCACAATATTCTTTCTTTTGTTTTAGTTTTGGAACGCGACAAACATGGCATCAGTTTTCACGTCGTTACATCTGTCAAACAAACCGATGTTTGTTTCCATATGTTACTCAAAATTACAGAAACCATGATTGATTGAGCGAATGAGCTATGTTGACTGCACAAAACATAGAAGTAAATGAATTAAATTTCAAAATTCAAGAACAAATTACAGGCGAATTGAGGATATATAAATCAATTGATTCGGCTACTAACCAAGATGATGTAGTCAACTATCCGCCTGAATTTTTAAACTCGCTGGATTTACTAGGATTGCCACCTCACAATCTTCAATTAATGGTTGGATCGGTAGTTAAAATATTGAGAAATATCAACCAACCGCGTCTTTGCAACGGTACACGGTTAGCGATAAAAAAATTATTGAACAACGTAATATAAGCAACTATACTGACAGGAAAGTATAAAGGAGAAGGCGTTTTGATACCACGCATCCCAATGATTCCGACTAATATACCATTTGAATTTAAACGACTACAGTTTCCTGTGCGGCTTGATTTTACTATGACCATAAATAGGTCCCAAGGGCGATCATTAGGTGTTTGTGGTATTAATCTAGAAAAATCATGTTTCTCACATGGTCAATTGTATGTTGCTGTTTCCGTGTTGGAAAACCATCAGATTTGTTTGTATATTCACCAGGTAATCAAACAAAAACATTGTATATCATAAAGTACCACAATAAAAATAAAACAGATTTTTATTAATAATTATGATTCACTTGCTTTACAATAAAGATATTACTGAAAATACATATATACGTTTTATTTTATTATTCTTTATTACATCGGTTATTAACCCTATGTTAATAATAATAAATAATCAATTATCTCTATGTTTTGTCATTGAAGCACCCCCTTTATAAATATTTGTCACCTTTAAGTTTTCACTACCCCTTTAGATCATTTTTCAATCAGGTTTGAACCTTAAGTTCCTCTCTTAGTTTAAAGCCCTCTGGCAGACATCCCAGTCGGGGTTTTTAGTGGGTTCAAAAGGGTAGCCAAAGTTCGTCGAGGCGAAGATACTTAGGTTACCCGAGCTGACCCTCACACACAACCCTATCATCATGGTGACGGTTCTGTTTAGGAGAATTAAAGAAATAAAATGCCAAATTCCAAATCTATTTGACAGAACGAAGTCTGTCGGGTCCGCTAGTAGTAGTATAAAATAGCATCACACATTATAAATACTTTTGTTTTCATAAGGTAACATGGGGATAAAGCTTCCTCTCTGATACTTTAACTGCACAGCTAATATAATATGGTAGGTCCTAAATGTACTTTAAAATGACACCATTAGCAGTACTGAAGGAATAAATTTCATGCGCTTTGACGAAATATTTAATTATAAATATGCTATTCACTGAGCATCACATATGATGCACAAACGTATCAAAAATAATTACTGTGTATCACATGTAATGCACAGGGCAGACAAAGGATTAACGACAGTAGGAACCACGAATTGAAAAAAAATCTGACAACAGATAAGAAAGGGGCAATGTAGTATACCAATAGAGTAGAAGCAGCGATAATTTAAAATAAATTGGATAAGTCATGAAATCCGTAAAGCTGCAGACCTGGTTGCTAAATCTAATTCATGAACGCTAATTGATCAACGCTAAACAACTGGAAGGAATCAGTAACCATTATCCTACACAAGAAAGGGGATAAAGCAGATATAAAAAACTACCGTCCTATAACACTCCTCAATGTAATGTATAAACTCCTAACAAAAATTTTAACCAATAGATTGACGACAAAATTCGATGGATACCAGTCGAAAGAACAAGCTGGTTTTAGAAAGGGATTCCGCACAAGTGACCATTTACTAAGTATGAAAATACTTATAGAACGAGCAAATGAATACCACATTCCTCTATATATGGCGTTCATAGATTTTGAAAAGGCTTTTGACAGGTCGAACATTGGGCAGTGAAAAGTTCTTTGATTAACAGCCGAATTGACCACAGATATACGGAACTAATAACCAATATATATAAGGAAGCCAAAACAACCATTAAAGTATATGAAGAAACAAAATCATTACAAATAAGTAGAGGCGTGAGACAGGGTGATGCAATATCACCGAAACTTTTCAATCAGGCTCTTGAAGATACTTTTAAAAGATTAGAATGGGGGAAAAAAAGGTATAAAACTTTGTGGACAACGCTTGAACCATCTAAGGTACGCTGATGACATCGTATTGATAACCGATAAAAAAGAAGAATTATTTGAAATGATGAAAGAACTGGACGTAGAAGCTGGAAAGATAGGCCTTAGTATGAATTACAGCAAGACCAAAACTATAACAAATACAGATGAAGACATCACAATGAGAATCGTACAAGATGAAATAGAACAAGTTAAGGATTATATATATCTTGGTCAAACTATAAAACTTAACAAAGAGAACCAAACAGCAGAGATCAAGAGATGAGTTAGACTGGCATGGGCGGCATTTGGCAAACTAAGCTACATTCTTAAAAACAAAAGATATCCACAGCATCTTAAGACCAAACTATATAATCAATGCGTACTCCTTGTTCTTACTTATGGTTCCCAAACGTGGACATCTACAAAAGCAAACATGGACAAAATCATAAAAACCCAAAGAGCAATGGAAAGACAAATGTTGCACATAAGACTAATGGATAAGAAGAGAAACGAGTGGATAAGAGAAAAAACAAAAGTGAGGGATGTTAGACAAGAAGTTGCAAAATTGAAATGGAGATTTGCCGGACACAATATAAGACAAAAAGAAGACCGATGGAACAAAATTCTTAAGTTGGAGACCGTGGGAATATAAACGAAGTAGAGGAAGGCCCCAAATGAGATGGGGGAAGAATGGAGAAGAATGGAAAAGGATTGGGGAGGCCTATGTCCAAAGATGGACCGAAGAAGGCTAATTAGATAGATATCTAGAATGGATTAATATTCAGAAAGTGACCTAAACAATCGATTTACAAAGTATCTGTATTCCGTAGAAAAAAATTAAACAAAATTTTGATCAAGAATAAATATTAGCACTTTTTGTGTAGAATGAACCATTCTGTCAGAAACAACGCTTGAAGCGACCAATTATTTTGATTGTGTTACAAAATCAATCAAGCGAAATCAATTTTTAAATGAAATTTATATCAAGTCGACGGTAAAAATTCGTTATGTTTTCTTCAGAGTGTCCTATCCTGTTAAATAAATAAACGTTGCGCAATTTTTGTCATTTTTGTCATGTTAGAGCCTATTCTTCAAAACCTGTAACACGAAATTTCGATTTTAAGTTTTAACAACAAAAATGATTTATTTAAAATATGCCTAAAAATGCAGAATTTAAACTTTTACAAGCGATCACAAGCGATTACAAACGATCGCACGTCACGGAAAACGCTTCCACACCTGGTAATAGGTAAAATTTGTAACTTAAATTATGTAGTTTCTAAAAACGTACTTACGTAATTGAAAAAATAAAGTAACTTAAACCTTAAGATCGTTTGTAATGTAAAGTTTAAATTCCGCGTGTTTTAGGCATATTTCAAATGACTCAAATTTATTGCTCCTACGGAGGTTGGCTATTTTTATTTTAGAACTTGCTGCTCTAAACAAATCAATCGATCTGCATTGATACAAATCGCGTATATTCTTTAACTATGAGTTCTGCCTTCGGCCAACAGATCTTCTTCCTTGAATTTTTCCCTGTATTATGAAATTTTGAGACTCATTTTTAATACCCTGCGGTATAACCAGAGTTCGAAAGCCTCGATTCTTTTTAAATTGGTTTTTTAATGTCCAAGTCTCAGCTCCATATAATAATATTGAAAATATATAACAGCGATTATATTATATAAAATTTTATACTATAGCTTTTAAAGATTAAGCCCTAATAATGGAAATTCCATAGCAACCGGTCAATGAAAGTGATAAATTTTATTGATCTCATCAGAATCATAAAATGGCAAACATCACACAATGTTTCTTTATTTATTATATTGTAATGTAAAAATAGCAAGGAAATAAAGAAGAAATAAAAAAGGGGTAGTTAGCCTAGAAAAGAGTAATCATTATTTAAATAATAATTATATATTCCAAATTGAATAAAGAACAAAAAGTTCGACATGGTTAACATATACATTTTAAATTAAACAAAGAATGAAAATTCGACCTAGTTTAAGTGTATTACACGAGTCTCGATATCAGGTCGCTACGAATGTTTAAAAATTACGTTTAAAACATAGACCTTTGTTGGAAAATAACATCACCGCATGACCCGATTTTTAGCACGTGAAAAGAGGGCTCGATCAGCATAAACTCGACGATTTGTAATTGAGGCTACGGGTTCATAAAAAACGAAGGAAGTTGGCCAGCAGACAGTAGTTGCCTGGCACCCGTGAGTGGTCGGAGGCGGTAGCGTCCAGTAAGCGCTCGAGTAGTAGATCGGCACCCGTGAGTGCTCAATGCCAGAAGCGCGGGTGATCATGGCAATAATTACGCGGCACCAGTGAGCGCACTATAGTATTTCGACGGGAGAGTAGTACCATATAAGTGCCAAGTATTGGGTATCTCGAAAAATTCGTGATAGCGTGCGGTACTTCAACAGACTGATTCTGAATTTCAGTAGGACTGAAAGGCGTATTCATTAGCTGGGGCCTAAATACGCGAAGGTAACTAAATCTATATACTAACCCAGGGGCATATATAATAAACGTAGATTGTCCACCTTTTAATTTTCTTGCTAAGGTCTCTTCTCGTCTCCCTTCGCGTCTAAACGAATCATAATTACTTATAACTGATATCTTGTTGTCTTAGTTGTAGTATACAGTCTATTTAATACATTGTAAACTCGAAATTTGCTTTTATTGTTCTTTCCCGGCCGTTACAGGTAAAGAATAGAAGAGAACACATTTCTCCGGCTTCTAAAGCAAGCCCATAGACTCAAATCTTTACAGGGCCTGAAGTCCTTCATCCCTTTTTCCCAAACTTCCCTACCCTCCTAAAAACCCGCGAGGGCGAAACCAGTCCGTTCAGACTAGTGGGACCAGTAAGCCTTGCCTCCGCTAGCTGGGATAGGTACCCACTAAAAATTTTAGACGCATTTAAGGATTAGAGACAGGCGTCTTTTACAAGTTCCCCCAAACATTACAATATTGATAAAAACTGACGTCTTGAAATTTATATGAAAGCTGCACACTTTTTATCTCTAAAACTCATTTTGATTTCGATGGGACACTCTGATCAAAAGAATTTTTACTGTCGAGTTGATACAAATTTTATTTACAATTAATTTGGCGCGGTTAGCTGATCTTCAAAATTGCCGGTCGCTTCAAGCGTTTTTTTCTGAGAGAACGCTTCATTCTACACAAAAAGTGCTAATAAAAATTTTTGTTTATAATGATCTCAACTACATTTTTTATTTGAAACATTTTTTTCTACAGCATACAGATTTTTGCTAAATCGTTTTTTCTGTTTTCCTTCCTCCAAGGGGAATTTTAGGGTGAAGCCTGTGGGTAGTAGTAGTAAACTTTTTTGCATATTTTTTTGGAAATAGGCGAAAAAGAGGCTGCAAAAGTAAAATCCATACTCCGATAGATACGTTTTAAACAAATGTCTTAGAACATTTGCTGTAATAGGAGGATTACAAGGTGGCCGCTATGCATATTTTACAATATGATGAATATTGCAGGAATAAACGCTTTTGTAATCCATCATCACAATGCAACTAAAAACTGGAGGCATTATCCAGATTAAATTTTATGCTGTAACTTCATGAAAAACTAACGAAGCCATGGCAACAAATAAGGCTCCAAACAGTAGCAACTTTATCAAGAAGTCTCAAAGAGAGTCTATTCATGCTTTTGAATTTAATACCTGTTGCTGAAGACCGCCGAGGTCCCTAAGGGAAAGGAAAACGGGCTCATTGTAGTTTATGCCCTACAGCAAAGAAACGAATGACAACTATCAAATGTTACCAGTGCGGGAGAGCCTAGTGTGGCGAGTATCAAATAAAAATTTGTATGTAATGTGTACATCAATAGAAGGTCATCGTTTCTGTATTTGTAATAGTTATTATATGCCCAGGTTTACCGTGTACATATTACACGATTCTGTTCGATGCCAAAAGTACCTATTTCATGTTGTTTATGTTTAGATTATTAATATTTCAATGTTTGTTTCTTTGTATCGTTCCTAAATAAACTTTTCTTGAAATTAAATCATTTTGTTTTAATTAGAATTGAAATAAAAAGAAAATACTAAAACTAAATCAGTGAGTACGTAAAATTTACGTATGTTAAAGGAACGTTAGTATTATAGGTTATTATAAGATAACTTTTGATTAAGTTTCAACAGATATGAGAGCTAGTTTGGACAACATAAAATAATAGCTCTGTGAATATTCTCCCAAAGAAATTCAAACCAGCTATGAGAAGTACGGATAGGTATGGAATCGTTTTTTAAACAATTAATTTCAATCAGCTGACACTCCAACAAAAATGAAAAAAAAAACTTCATTAAATGAATCAGTTTTGGACCAGAAGGATGCAAGAATACCCCGAATTGGCGAGTGAAATTCTCAAATGTTTGGTTTTATTTGCAACATCTTATTTATGCGGGTTGAGTTTCTCATCAATGACTGCTATTAAAATAAAAGTGAGAAATCATTTAGAACTCGAAAATAACACAATTGTTTACTTATCGAATACAGATCCCAGGTTTGAAAAAACAGTTCATGTCCATAAATAAACGGCAACCCTATTTTGATAATAAGGATCTGTTTTAAATAACCTATGTATAAAATTGTAATTGTAATTATTTTACCAACTTGTGCGCTCAGCTCCCGTGTTTATGTATCTGCGACCGGCTCCCGCATATTATCTCTCTCCAAACCACGTTATAGACGAGCGTGAAGTTGTATTCCGGTATGTGAAGACCGAGTGTATTGGCGCTCCCGTAAAAAGTGCGTAAATTATAGATGCGTCAACGTGTAGAACTGGTGTTTAGTCCTAAATCATATACCAGTTTTGTTTCTCTGAATACTCTGTATCTTTGTTACTCCCCCTAGCAATGTAAAGGTAATAATTTGTATAACTCTTTTTGTCATCATCAGAATTGCGATAATTATCAATGTATTGTATCAGTCCTTAATTCGCTGTCAATAAATCGAAGGAAAAAAGCATATTAAATGTTTTATTGCTTCAGTGGTCCTAAAATATTATGGAGCAATCAGGTGTTCAACTACGTCTTATATTTTTATTTTATATATTTTTCACTAAACCATGAACTAAACAACATCATCAAGGTTATCTTTTTTTAAATCATTTCTCGACCCCCTCAGCTCTTTAATGCGACTCCTAAGGGTGTCGCAACCCACACTTTGGAAACTACTGTTTTAAGTTATCGAAAGTAAGTTCCAGAAGAGCTTATGAAACCATCGAGAATCTTCCATGGCCCATTCATGGCAGATTATTTGGGAAATTTTGCATTCTGTCGAGTAAATAAATACTCGATTGCAATCGAGTTAACAAATACACTTTTGGCAAATTTAGATATTTTGTCAACTTTCGCATATCGTTACAGATATTTAATTTTACACAATTTAGTAACTTATGACTTAACATCAGTCCTCAAACCGATGTGATCCAGATCCAAATCTGGCATAGATAACATCGGATCCTGCTGATGGTCTTTATCTTCCAGATTATTCTCGCTAACTGCTGTATTAATCAGACTCTCCATCAATCTATCATTACTGTCGCTAGTAAATATATCTGAGTTATTAAATAAAATCTCCATAGTATTATCCTGGTTGATTTCATCTGTAGTGAAGTTCATGTTTTCAATGGTCCTCTTTAAATCCTCCACTTGTTTCGACAGATTAGCCTGTCTCTTATTTTCCAGTCCTTTTATTTTATTATTTTTGTATTCCAAACTATATTCAGGATGGAAGTTTTTGATATGGCGTTCAATGGAATAGCGAAGTTTAAATTTTTTATTGCATTTTGGACAAGAATATTGCTTGTCAAGCGACTGAATATCTTTGTATCCTGCATGTAAGGTTTTTATGTGCCGTTTAAGATATTTTTCTGTCGTGAATACAGCTGAACAATGCTGGCAGTTTAAGGAATTATTCAGATGTGTTACTTGATGCATCTTGAGCAACTTTTTGTTCTTGAAATCCTTTTGACAAGTCTCACAGCTCACCTAAAATTTAAAATTAATGAAATTAGAAAACATAACCTAAAAAGTAGTCCTATTATTGACAGTTCAATATTTACAATTTCAGTTAATAAGAACTAAAGAATGAAACTATTGAAATAACTCACATTTTGAACCTCTAAAAATAATACGAAAAAGCTGAATTTTGCGTAATGTCAATTTTAAGAGCCCAAAAAAGTTGCAAAAAAGTTTACCAATCATACTTCCGGGCTTCCCCCTTAAGCCATCCCTCATAGTGTAACAAAAAATGTGTGAGTGAGAGTTGTAGGACGCCAATGTAATAAAAATGTGTATGTGTAATGCAACACAAGTATTTGGAGTGATGTAACAAAAACAAATAAATTAAAGCTGGCTAGCAGAATGTGCCGGAGAGTGACTACTTGACACTCAAGAGAGGATTCGGCCAATTTGTATGCCCTACAGAGACCGTAAAATGAGAAAATGAATGACAAGGTAATAAAAAAGGGAAATGAATGACAATTCATAAATAATTTACTTGCCTACTAGAGATGTAACTCTGTACTTCGGCTTTCAATTAAATGTCCTAAAAAGTAATAAGGACACTATCCTGACGGGATACATGTCCAAAGGTTTAAATATATATTAATAAAATGCCAATAAATAACTCTCTGATTAAATGTGTACACATAAAACCGTACAACAGAGTTGAAATGGAGGATTTAAAACCTCAACCTACCAAGTCCCTAAATATGATTTTGTATTATTTTAGAAAAAAATGCGTTTTTATTATTATTAGGTAAAAATATTACGCTTTAAAGTTCAAAAAAAAATAATAAAAAAATTAAAATTAATGAATAAACTTAATACAGATTTACAATATTCCAAACTCTGAATGAGGGAAATACTTCAGGCTGGTTTCTTAAAGTTGTCCGGGAATAGTAAGGTCAGATCTGGATCACTGGGGGAAGAGCTAAGATTGAAAATAATTAACCCTGAACCAGGTGTACCTCCGACTAGGTAATAACTTAACCCTTCTTCTTTATCCCAAAATTATTATATTATATTATATCCTAAAAAATTATCCCAAAAAAACAATATAAACGAATGCTTCCCCTTGACTTCTGCTTGACTCCTAAAGTAGGCTAAAAAGAATATTTGTGTTAAAGTTCTTTCTTACTCTCGATAAAAAGTAGGGAAAAACACAAGGTTTATGAACCTGAAAAGTTTTATAAAAGTTACTTATGAAGTATGAAAGCAAAAAAAAACCTTAATGGTTTTGTAAATAATGTAACCTTCGTGTCGTTTGACAATACTTTAAGTAAAATGGATTAATTATATAGACACTTTTAACGAAAAGCATGCTATGGATATATTTTAGAATATAAAAGAACGGAATGAGACAGAATATTTTTATAGATACTCTTAATAGATAATAGATAGTTTTAAAGATATATAATTATATTTTTAAGACCGGAAGGTAAAATTAAAAAATACATATGTTTTTATATCATTACTATATTTAAATCCAGAATCTTTCTTATTGAAATGATGTGAGAAAAACCAAAGGAAAATTGACAATATTTAGAAATCAACATAGCTGACGGTTTTTATATTTTTTTATTGATAATTGGATACACTTACCGGCTCAGAGTGGCTACAAACCAAACAGGACACAAAAAAACAAACCAAAATGGTTAAATTTCATAACATTTAACCAGAACATTATCATTATAAAATTCCAATGCCGGACCTGTATATTCGAAAAATGCCGGTTCAGCTTGACGTCACTTGGGTTGCGTTAGCTATGATCCGGATACTCATTTCGGCTTTTGGGTTCGTTAGCTATGACCCGGCAACTCGTTGTCGGCTCTTTGAGCGTGGGCGCACCGGCAGCTGAGAGTAGCATTCCAATCTTAACACTGTACACATCTCCACTCGTAGTATTTTGTTGGTTTTTGTTTTTTATTACGTACGAGTGGAATTAAACGTTCATAAACGGCTAACATGTGGTCGTATATCTTTTAAACATTTTTTCTTATATAACAAGTAATGGTTTCAACGTGTTTTTCATCAATGTTTTGTAAATAGCTGTATAAAGTGCTTCGTAAAAGACTTTTAAGTGCAAAAGTGAGGTTTAAGTGACAAGTTCTCATCTGTTTACGTGACCAAATGAACTTACATCAAGAATCGAACTATCTAACCTGCATTTTTTTGTAAAACTATTCCGAACTTAAACATTTTCAGTTTCTCTCAATAAAATCTAGTGAAAATTCAATTTAAAGGGTTTTCATTTATTTAAACTCAAAGAAGAAATACCTTTCCAAGGAAATATTAGAAGAGCAAAGGGGTTATTACCTCAAGGAAGAACCTGATAATATCACACATGTTACCTTACCCGCAATTTCTTGGCATACCAGCAACCTAGAAGGAAATATAGAACATCACATCAAATTAATATGAGACAAACCCTCATATTTTATTCATGGTCAGCTTCGAGCCGGATCGACTTTTTGATGTCAAGGAAAGCGGAACTTTCGTTTGAGGTACTGTACAAGCATTTTTTAACAAACTATTAGTGTTTCTTCAAATAAACTTTGCCTTCTTCGAATCATAAACATTTTTTATCAATTTTTTTGTGAGTTTAGAATCATAAACATTTTTTATATCAACTTTTTTTTGTGATTTTAACATCGAGAATGTACTATAGTAACTTGGCAAATTTTTGTATGTTACAATTTTAAATGTATAATCTTTAAACTAACATAAGTGGAACAATTAAGATTGTTTTTGCTTTTTAAACAAGTGTTCTTTTTTGTAAAACATCTTTTAACATTTTTTATGTAAAACATCTTTTAATTGCATTTTAATTAAAATTGCAAATAATTTAAATTTAAACACAATTTGCTAGGAATTTGCATGTCAAACATTTTTTTTATGCATTTGTGGAACTTAGATTTTTGTTAAAAATTTATTTAAAATTTTCAAAAAGTTTTTTGTTCCTTAGCAAATTGAAATACAATGTTCTAGGGGACCGTATCGCCAATTTTTTTTGATATTTTAACTTAGAGCGATTTTCAAAAAAAAAAAAAAAACATTATCAACCATTTTTGTTTTTCACTCCTAAGTTGACTCCAGGATATTAAAGCAGTAACAAATATTAAATATGGCATCAATCGATGAATTTAAGAAAATCAGATCCATTTCAAAGTCACAATTCACCAGGGTCGAAAATTGGATCAAAGCTAACGTAAATTGCACTGATAAGATTCAAATAGTATCAAAATTGGAAACTTTAAAAACATATTTCATCAAATATTGTGAAGCTCAAGATGAAATTGAGTATCTTGATCCTAAAGACAATGACAGAGAAATTACAGAAACCAAGTATTTCACGTTATTTTCAACTTTAGACTCGATTTTTTCTAAACTAACTGCTCCTATAGTAAATTCAACTCCCAAGTCTCAGACTACAGCTATAGCTTCACGTCTGAAACTTCCGGAGATTCAAATTCCCAAGTTTTCAGGGGATAATCTAGAATACAAATCCTTTATCAATCTTTTCAATGCTTTAATCACGAACAATTCTAATCTGGGGTCACCTTCGGAGAAACTTTTTTATCTGAGATCACATTTAAGTGGGGAAGCTCTCAAACTGATTGAGAATTTGGAGATTTCAGATGACAATTTCACAGTTGCATTGAATTTTTTAGATTCAAAATACAACAATATCAGACAAGTTTTATCAAACCATTTTCAGCAACTGTTGAAGGCACCTGAAATAACCAAAACTTCCCTAAGCACGTTGAAACCATTTATTACAAATACACAATCTATCTATGAATCATTACTCACTTTGGGTCATCAACAAGACACGCTCTTTGAGGCTTTAATTACTCAAATACTAACTTCTAAACTAGATTTTCAATCGCGAAAAGCTTTCGAAGAGCAAGCAACACCAAACTCTCTTAGTACCCCAGCTCAACTTTTTGATTTTTTAAATAGACGTTGTACGGTATTGGAAGCGGTAAAAACAGAGGTACAACCGGGAAGCCCACATCATGAGAGGAAATTTAAACAAAGTAGGACTTCACCAACAAAGTCTAGTTTACCCAAAGTGTCTTTGCATACTGCTAATCAACTATCAAACACAAACCATCAATCTAACAGAAACTATCAATCAAACAACAGCCAACAATCAAACATAAACAATCAATCTATCAACAATTCACCAGGTAAAAAAGTAACTTGTGCGATGTGCAGCGAATCTACTCATAGGATTAATTCATGCCCTAAATTTTTATCATTGTCCATAAGCGATAGACAAACATACATCAATCAAAACAGATTATGCATTAATTGTTTAGGTCGAAATCATGCGGCCACAACCTGTTTATCTAGATCAAATTGTTCTTATTGTAATAAAAGACATAATTCATTATTACACGAATCATCTTTATCAAATGCTACTCAGGATTCTCCGTTAATGCAGCAAACAAGTGCACAGTTTGAATCCAATTGTTCAATATCTCCGCCTAAGATGGATCAAAATCAAAGGGCAAATCAAACATTAACTTTTAATCAAACATGTTGACAATTAGAACATTCTTTATCTGCTAACTCCACTGCTACACACAGCTATGTACTGCTAGCTACAGCTCAAGTTCAATTCAAATCAATTCAAAATCATGCAGTCATAGTTAAAGCACTTTTGGACAGTGGAAGCCAAATTTCTTTTATAACTAAATCATTATTAAATCAGTTAAACATTCAATCTTATTTCAAAAAGTGTAATGTCGCAGGTATTTGTCAATCTAACAAGGCAATTAACGAGTTTATAGATCTTACATTTCAATCTAATCAGGAACCTGCGATGTTTTTCACAACAACCTTTGCTGTAGTTGAGGAAATAACTTCACATTTGCCTCAAATTCACTTGAATAAAAATTCATTAAAAATTCCTCAGCACATACAATCAAATCTAGCAGATAAAGAATTTAATATCCCTTCTCAAGTGCATGTTTTAT